TTTATCACACGTAAGAACTATAAGTTCCCCCTATGAGATTCACTCATCAATTCCAAGACTCAACATGTTTATTAATGAAGAGGTACATGCGTATTTATAGTTGCAAAATAAATCTAAGCCTAATCAAACTAGATCTCCTAAATCTTGCAAGAATTGAAATCCTAATACTAGAAAATCTCCTAACATATTAATTAAAAGCAATAAAGGAAATAAAATCCTAACATAACTAAAATACTAATTGTCTTGACTTGCACTCCAAGCACAAGTCTTGAAGCTCAAGTCGCCGCCCCCAAGCCAACCGCCTATTCGCGCGTGCCTTCGGCGTTCTTTCCTTGTTGCGTGCGGCTTCGCGCGCGCGCTGCTCCCACGCGTTATCCGTTACGCTCCCTGTCCATGTGCGCGCCGCGTTGCGCGCATTGCTGCCACCCGTCTCGCCTAGTCCCGCGCGGACTAGGCTTCGCTCGTTTGCTCCACCTGTGCATGCGCGCGCTAACGCGCTTCCCCAGCGCTCGCCATCCATCTCCTGCGCGTGCGCATCCACCTTGCCTAAGCCTACCAGATTTAGGCCTACGCCCGTGTTCATTGCACGCACGCGTCCTTCCTGCCACACGCCCACGCTATTCGTGCACTTGCCTTGCACGCCCGGCACCCGTGCATCACTCGCACGTTTTCTTGACCAACCGTGCACATTTCTTGCTCGATTGTTAGACTGCTTGCGCGCATCAAGTCCCGATGCACGCTCTTTGCTTGTGTTCGCTTCCATTGGTCCGGTGCAATCACCCGCCTGCATCCACCATCCGTCCTCAACTCCTCGCACACCGCACCTCCTACCTTCCGAGCGCCATGCGCGTCTACGCCAATGCGCGTGTGCGCGCCCTTCTTGAATATTCCTTTTCTTGCGTGCTTGTACGCCTCGCATACGAGCTCGTACCCGTCTTTTAGGCCATGTGTGCGTCATTTTTGCCCTATTTTCAGCCTCCTCGGGTCGTCTCGACTCTTGGTCTTTCTTACCGTCGGGGCTCGGAACCCACTTCCGCATCATTCCCGCCCCCTTTGAGAATGTCCTTGCCCTCAAGGACTCATCCTCGACCATCCAAAACTCGAGAACTTCTTCTTCGATCACACGCGTATCCACACCATAATGTGCGTACGCCTCCTCATCATGGCCCGCTTTGACCGCGACCAACATCTCAACTTCGAACATCTCTTCGACCATAATCTCGCTTGCAACAACAATTACTTTGTCCTCCACGCTCATCTTCTCGCCGACTGCGAGCACTTCGGATTCCCCGGCCACGAACTCGATGTGTTGCGCGCGCTGTTCCCGCGCGCACGTTATGCACCCATCACCCACGACCAAGATCGCACCAATGACCTCGGCCCCTTCGACACCTTCGGCCTCGCTGTCGATGTGCGCCGCTTCACCCTCTTCGCCCACGGGCAAGATCTCTTTCTCGCTGATCTTGAGTTGTCTTTCATACTCCTCCTTGTGCTCGTACATCTCCTCCAAATAATCTCACTCCCAAGGGGTTAATTCCCTCTCCAATCCTTCCAAATATTCAAGATCCTCTTGATCCCACTCTTCTAATGATAACATCATGACTCTCTTTTTTTCTTTTTTTTTTAAGACTCTAAAAAAAATTGAAAAATTCGAATATTAATTCAAAAATTTCGACCAAAAAAGAACAAAAATTCGGTCCCTCAGAAAAAGGCAAGCCGAAAAAAAAAGAAAAAGATAGGATAAATAAAAAGACGATCAACACCTCTCAATGAAACCCTCTCAATGAAAGCACCAATGATGAATGAACCGCTGATCGGTGTTGTTATTTATACGTTGGGTTGTGAATAAACGGCGCCCTCAGGGCCTTCATTTATCCACGATAGGTGTATCTAGCAGACGCACTCAGGGCCTTCTCCTAGACACTGTGACTTCGAGACGCTCTCAGGGCCTTCTCTCCGACACTGTATGTAAACACGCACTGACGGCCTTGTTTATCACACGTAAGAACTATAAGTTCCCCCTATGAGATTCACTCATCAATTCCAAGACTCAACATGTTTATTAATGAAGAGGTACATGGGTATTTATAGTTGCAAAATAAATCTAAGCCTAATCAAACTAGATCTCCTCAATCTTGCAAGAATAGAAATCCTAATACTAGAAAATCTCCTAACATATTAATTAAAAGCAATAATGGAAATAAAATCCTAACATAACTAAAATACTAATTGTCTTGACTTGCACTCCAAGCACAAGTCTTGAAGCTCAAATCGCCGCCCCCAAGCCAACCGCCTGTTCGCGCGTGCCTTCGGCGTTCATTCCTTGTTGCGCGCGGCTTCGCGCGCGCGCTGCTCCCACACGTTATCCGTTACGCCCCATGTCCATGTGCGCGCCGCGTTGCGCGCATTGCTGCCACCCGTCTCGCCTAGTCCCGCGCAGACTAAGCTTCGCTCGTTTGCTCCACCTGTGCATGCGCGCGCTAACGCGCTTCCCCAGTGCTCGCCATCCATCTCCTGCGCGTGCGCATCCACCTTGCCTAAGCCTACCAGATTTAGGCCTACGCCCGTGTTCATTGCGCGCACGCGTCCTTCCTGCCACACGCCCACGCTATTCGTGCACTTGTCGTGCACGCCCGGCACCCGTGCATCACTCGCACGTTTTCTTGACCAACCGTGCATATTTCTTGCTCGATTGCTAGACTGCTTGCGTGCATCAAGTCCTGATGCGCGCTCTTTGCTTTTGTTCACTTCCATTGGTCCGGTGCAATCACCCGCCTGCATCCACCATCCGTCCTCAACTCCTCGTACACCGCACCTCCTACCTTCCGAGCGCCATGCGCGTCTACGCCAATGCGCGTGTGCGCGCCCTTCTTGAATGTGCCTTTTCTTGCGTGCTTGTACGCCTCGCATACGAGCTCGTACCCGTCTTTTCGGCCATGCGTGCATCGTTTTTGCCCTATTTTCAGCCTCCTCGGGTCGTCTCGACTCTTGGTCTTTCTTTCCGTCGGGGCTCGGAACCCACTTCCGCATCAGGGCGCTGGGGCGCGGTGATGAAGGATCAGGTGTTGCGTTCCATCGACTTGTCTCGATCACGGCTTCGCCACGGCCTTGCTCTCGACGATAGGTGTGATCGACTCAGTTATTAGCCTAACTCTCTCAGGATACTTGAGTTCACTCGGTTATTAGCCTCGCTACACTCTCGAAATAGCTCGGGTCTTAGCCTCCCTAAATCGTTGAACTGGCTCGGGACTTAGCCTCACCAATTCGATTGCATGATCGAATCTCACGACTCTAACACAAGGTTTCGAACAAACGTTCTTTTCTATTTCATCATTCTTGGACATGAAAAACAATGAGGGAACATCCCTATTTATAGATCCTAATTACTACTAATTCTTATCTACCTAGGAAACATATTAAAGCAATAAAATATTAACTTCCTAAACATTCTAGATACTATTGTGCAAGAAGGAAACTAAATATATCAAAGTCCTAAATTGACAAGATCTTGATCTTGCTTGGCTTGCACTCCAAACAATTCCCATCTTATGCCTAAGTAATTTCGGCCGCCTCATTGCGCGCACGCCGTCTTCCTTTCGCGCGCGCCGACTCGGGTCGCCTACTCTCGCGCGTCTCATCCGTTTCGCACACGCTGGCCACCGCCCCCGCTTCTCCTAGTCCCGCGCAGCATCGGTCGTTTGTTCCCCAATCGCGCGCCATCGTGCGCGCCTTGCTGCCGCTGAACTCCTCGTGCGCGAGCGTGCAGTGTCCATCACTCCTACGCCTATTCGGCCTAGGGCGTCGCCCGCGTCGTCCCCACTTGCGCGCCCAACGCTCTCCGCGTCCTCTCTGCCCAGGCCCCACGCGTCCCTGCCACCATCCGCGTTACTGGTACTCGCGCGCTCCCCGCGCGCCTCGCCCCAGCTGGCCAATGCTCGCGCGTCCCAACCACCTGCGCACGTCCCGTGCATTCCGGCAGCGCCCGCCGCAATGCTCGTGCCGTCCACCCCCGTAGACTGCTCACCTTCACGCCTCTCGCGCCCCGTCGCTACGCCCCCAGATGCTAGTGCGTCCCAATCAACCTCCGACCATCCGCATGTCGCTCGACCCTGCGACTCCGCCGTTGGTCGTGCACCCGCGTACATCATCTTGTTCTGTCCAACCGCGCGCATCATGGGCCGATGCGCGCCATTCGCCCATTGGCCGATCACCCTCGCCTTCTTCGTCGCCGCTTGTCCCTGTTGGTTCGGGCCATGGGTCCCAACCTTTCAACTTCTCACAATCGTCCGACGGTACCCACCATCCTTTGTCAGCCCATTGCAAACCACGCCGTCTGGCCTCCTTCCTTCGGGCTCGTCTCTTCTATTTACAAGGCTTATACCAACAGTATGATTCCTTGTCCTTTGCCTTGCGTTTCCTTCGGGCTCGTTTGGTCTTGCGCTTCTTAGGCTTAAGCTTTGATTGCGAACCACACCCTTTCGGCCAATCTCGTACGCATGATGGGTGGTATATTGGACTTGTCGGCTCCTCCAGCATGTTTTCCAGCCATATGCCGAGACCATCGTCCTCTTCCTCGTCGGACTCGCCTGGGTTGATGACCACTTCCGTATCATTCCCCTCCTCTTCAAGACTTTCCTTGTCCTCAAGGATTAGAAAATTAAGCGCACCATCATCTTCACGGTTTTGAACTTCACCCTCTCTTGCTCCTCGTCCTTCCATGAGTTGTCACTCGTATTCTTCTTGATTTCGTCGTTCATGGAGCTTGTCTAGATATGTGCTTTCCCATGGGGTAAGTTCTCTCTCCAAACTCTCCAATAGTTCGAGATCTTCTCAATCCATCTCGTCCATTGGCACATAAGACATAATAATATTTTTTTTTTAAGACTCTATAAAAAATAATTCGAACAAGTCGAACCAAAAAAGAAAAGAAAAACAAAAGAAATTCGGCCCCTTCAACAAAAAGGTAATAACCGAAAAAAATCAAACAAAAGGACTAGATGACACCTTTTTTTTTTTAATACTATCGAATTTTCGAAAATTTGGGAACAAAAATTCGAAAAAATCGAACAAAAAGAAATCAAAAAATCGGACCCAAAAGAAAAAGAATGAGATAGAAAAAGTTCACGAACACCCAATCGATCACTCTCAATGAAAGCACCAATGATGAAGGATCGGGTGTTGCGTTCCCTCGACTTGTCTCGATCACGGCTTCGCCACGGCCTTGCTCTCGACGATAGGTGTGATCGACTCGGTTATTAGCCTAACTCTCTCACGATACTTGAGTTCACTCGGTTATTAGCCTCGCTACACTCTCGAAATAGATCGGGTCTTAGCCTCTCTAAATCGTTGAACTGGCTCGGGTCTTAGCCTCACCAATTCGGTTGCATGATCGAATCTCACGACTCTAACACACGGTTTCGAACAAACGTTCTTTTCTATTTCATCATTCTTGGACATGAAGAACAATGAGGGAACATCCCTATTTATAGATCCTAATTACTACTAATTCTAATCTACCTAGGAAACATATTAAAGCAATAAAATATTAACTTCCTAAACATTCTAGATACTATTGTGCAAGAAGGAAACTAAATATATCAAAGTCCTAAATTGACTAGATCTTGATCTTGCTTGGCTTGCACTCCAAACAATTCCCATCTTATGCCCAAGTAATTTCGGCCGCCTCATTGCGCGCACGCCGCCTTCCTTTCGCGCGCGCCGACTCGCGTCGCCTATTCCTTGGCGCGCGAGGCATCGCGCGCCTCGTCCGTTTTGCACACGCTGGCCACCGCCCCCGCTTCTCCTAGTTCCGCGCAGCATGGGTCGTTTGTTCCCCAATTGCGCGCCATCGTGCGCGCCTTGCTGCCGCTGAACTCCTCGTGCGCAAGCGTGCAGTCGTCCATCACTCCTACGCCTATTCGCCCTAGGGCGTCGCCCGCGTCGTCCCCACTTGCGCGCCCAACGCTCTCCGCGTCCTCGCTTCCCAGGCCCCGCGCGTCCCTGCCACCGTCCGCGTTGCTGGTACTCGCGCGCTCCCCGCGCGCCTCGCCCCAGCTGGCCAATGCTCGCGCGTCCAAGCCACCTGCGCACGT